CCCACTACCCCGAGTGTTTAGATGAGGCTATCAGGCAGAAAACACAGAAAAAGTGCTCTATTGCTCTTAAAAATAATTCTCAAAAATATGCGCAAATCTAAAACGTCACAATTGTGTTTACATACTCTCATCTAAACACACCAATCGACCAATGAGGGTGCGCCCAGTAGCTCAGTTATTTTATAAAATCGAATAGAACACAATACAATAGAATACATTTACCCAGTACAACTCAATATAGTACATAATATAGTCAACACAACACTCTACACAACAAAACACAAGACGATGCAAATTGAAATGCAATACAACACAATAAAGTGAAGTGCAGTGCAATGCAATGCAATGTAATACAGTGCAATTCAATTTTGTTTAACAAAACAATTGAAAGTAGATTAATCAGCTTACCATTTCATAAGATGAAGCCCAAGAATCGTAGGTGTTTTTTGCATCCTCCTCACTAGAAGATGGAGTGAGCTCTGTAATTGCTTTTAAATTCTCTGTAGCAGTAGCCATGAGTTAGGCTTTTCTATGATGCAATGTTAAAGCATTCAATTTCAGTGTTAACAAAATTAAATAAATACACATGAGATGAATGGCACTGATTACCATACAATAAGAGAAACATGGTCGGCTGAAAAATGGAAAGTTTGTGGGGGTCTGGGTTTGAGCCCTGGGTAGATAAATATTATTGTACAATATTGCGGTGTGTTCTTGGGTACCATAAGGCTCCTCCTGATGCAGCTTGTGGCTAGGAGAACTGGTATTGAAAACGGGTGCCTGTAAAACATGGACAGGACGGCGGATGGCGGATGGAAAAATGCGCATGACAAATATGTGGATGACAAAATGCTGATGGCAAAATGTGGATGGCAAAATACGAATGATAAAATCCTTATAAGGGGAAATTTCTGACAGTCCTAGTTGTAAATAAACCAGGCCATCTTAAAGAACAGTCCACCAGAAACAGCTGAAGATGGCAATTTACTGAAGCGTGTCACAGGGTGGGGATCTGACAAAAACCTAAGTTAGAAATCTGTCCAAGAGATATTAAACTACATATCAGTTCCCAACTGAACGTAGATATTCCGGAACACAGTTTTTCTTGTAAATAAATGGTTTTGCTAAATCAATGCAAAACTAAATTATTTACCATTTTCACTGCCAACCATCAGAGGCAACAATGGTATCAGTATCTTACTGTGATGGTCGAATTCTGTTGACTGATATTCCACTTCTCCCTACCTAAAATATTGAAAATCGACCGTTGCCAAGGGAATATCGTAGTTAATTCCCCTTATCAGGATTTTATCATCCTAACATTGTCATTCGCAATTTCCATCCTCAGTTTTCCATCCTCATTTTTCCATCCGCATTTTGTCATCCCCATTTTTCCATCTGCAGTTTTCCATCCACGTTTTTCCACCCACATTTTGTCATCTGCATTTTTTCACCCACATTTTATCATCCGCATTTTTCCATCCGCCATCCGCCATCCGGCCGCCATCCGATCCCAATTTTACATAGGGCCGGCTCTTCGTGGCTATATGTCCGGCAGCCGGTCAAGGTTAAAATAGACTCAAATAATGACCGGCAGTGCGACATTTCTTATGAAGTAAATTAATCAACGTAAAAAGAACACTGCGACAGGAGACCTCAAGAGTAATCGATCCCTGGTCACCCTCATGACAAGCCATACTCATTCTCATGACCACGGCACCGAAACCGGCTGGCAATTTTCGGAATTTTTTTTAGGTATATATAGTGTTACCCTTAGCATTATTGAAAGCTAATCGTAAACAGGCTAACCGGAGTGCTATTCAGACTAGCCGGAGTGCTCTTTAGGATAACTGGAGTGCTATTTAGCCTAAACTACTGAAGGTTTTGACTGCCGGTCACTTAATCTATTTAAAAACTTGTCCGGCTGCCGGTTAGACACTTCTTTTTCGTTTTGCTGTTTATTTGCAGTCCCCGAGGAATAGAAGATTAATCGTGAACTATTATACAAGAAATCTACTGAGCGTTGTAAACTTACCGCTGATCTCCACAAAAGACTCAAGTTGAAAGCGTTTGGTTTGACTCGATCATGCTAGTTGCAAGTCTTTCGCAACTAATGGCTCGCTGTGATGTTGCTCAATCGTGTTGGTCATGTGACGTCCGGATATGTGCCACTAGCCTCTTTGAGCCCCTACTCATTACTGTCTTATGGTCAAATATAGATCCCATCTCAGTCACCTTTTTGCAAATCTAAACGACGAAATCCCAATTTAATAACATTTTGTTTAAGGCCTTGATGAATAAATTTTTTATAACTACTTTTACTCTTAAATCGTGTATAAAGTTTCGCCGACTTCCAGGTACGACCACTCTAAATGCACTCTACTTCTTTTGAGTCGTCGAGTAATAGTTACCAAAACTGGAACCAAATATCAAAAATTGTTCTTTCATTTGTAATAATATGGCAACCGTTGATGATGTTAGGTGGTGAGACTGTTCACAGCTTCTATTTTACAGTGTCCTTTTTGGACACTTGATGAAGAGGATGTAGACAGTTAAACACGTGTCCCAACGAAGAAAGTCATAAGCTAGGGGTTTTGGTATTTTTTTGGTATAATTTCCAGGATGCTTTTCTAGAATTGGGCATTCTGATAAGTCGAGGAAAAGCTCGGATTATGGCGCTATATTCAGCGAACTAATGGAGCAACCTTTACCATCTCGAGGCAAGAAACCCAGGCGGAGATATTGTCCGTGACATCGCAAACATCGAGATTTAAAAAAAAAAATGACTGAATACCATCCGGCTCTGGACCAAAAACGTATTATGAAGCATTTTAGAATTTTATACGCCTCTTTTTGTATCTCTTGATATTCATCTGTGGAAATACTGTATCTTAAGACAATTCTTCACGGCAAGTTCAGAGGACTCTCTAGTTAAGGATGGGGAGGAGAGAATTAAGGAGCTTAAGCAACGACTACGGCGATGCCGAGGACGACGCCTAGTCAAAAATGAATTTATATTTTGCCAGTCTAGTTCTGTTCAGTACTCCAGTGGCTCTTAAAACGTGCTCAGGCTAAATATGCAACGACAGCGTTCAATTCCAAATGGAAAAACGAAAAATGAGGCGTTCGCGTGGTCGTTCGCTTTCTCCAGACTACCCAAAACTTAGTCATTTCACGTCCTTGTTTTGCACAGGACGGCAAAGATATGTAGAAAGATTTGCAATGCACGTGCACAGCTATTGTTCTGTTCATTATTAAATCTCCGGCTTGCGCTTTTGTTTTTTAACGTTCTCGCTGCCGTCGTCGTCGTGGTTTGCTTAAGCTCCCTTATTCGGAGCAGCACAGCGTCTTTATAACGGAGCTAGAGTTATGTCAAATGGGACAGCGATACATGAAATGGCAGAGCATAATAAAAATTGATACAGGGTAAGATGGAATAGCCGAGCATCTTACATGAAGAGGCACAGAATCGAGCGAAACAGGTCAGCGTGAGGTCAAATGAGTCAGCCCTGGATGAAATGGCACAGTATTCGGTCGAGCTATACAGCGCAACATCAAATGGTATGACATGTTACAGGCGCTTTGAATAAAAGAGAGTATTTTTCAATATTTTTTCAAAATATATATTTGCTTTGTTTGGTCAATTTGATTGCGTATTCGGTTTGAGTGGCCGTACTAATTGGATAAAATTATAAAGGATTATACAGGTTGGAATTTCAGAATGTAGCCGTTAGCACAATGAGGCCGTAGTGACGAGGTGGCCGCATGTATGAGAGTTTCGCCGAGACAAACAAAAAGGGCTGTAACGAACGAGGTGACCGTAATACCGTACTAATGTACACAGGTACGATGAAGTAAACACTTAAGTAACTACTGACTGTGTTCCTGAGTGCATATATCCTGCTTAGAGAGTTTCTCGTGCAGTAAAGCAGAGTAAAGAGACTTGTGTTTGTTAGTCTCATGTTGGGTTAAAAATCAAACTTTGAAAAGGAAAAAAAAACTGTACTGAATCAACTGGACCACTGCATGGTCTTTTGATTGATAAGACCTTAGCTTTTAGAAATATCATTACACTGACACCCTGATTAGAAAGTGTCCGCTAAACGTTCTTCTTCCATTTAATAAATACTTAGATTATATGAACTTCTGATTTCGAAGAGGTTATAGCTGGGGAGACAGTTTCATTCAGAGCCGTTTGGAATGCCTTAATTTATAAAAAGAGGTATTTTAATTTTTTTCTTGAAGTCTTCCCAGGAGGTGTTCCTCTATTACGTCCATGTTGCTTACCATCGTATTTACTTGGCTTCTGAATTCGTAGATATAGAAGGCTCACTGCAAGTCTCCTGTAGCCAAACCAAGACTACGTATTTCGAAGGACGTCTAGCAATGCCTCATACGAGCGCTGTTCAATATAATTAAGTAATTACTTTAATTTGCTCCAAAGAATAAATGGGCACTTTTCAAATCGTCTTCCAGGTTGGTTTGAAAACGAGAAATGGTGCAAAACCTTTCAAACGAAATGTGTCTTGTTTCAATTCCATGAAAATGAAAAACCAGTGTTAAAACATAACACTAAAGACGCCTTCAATTCTACCCGTTTCTGCTTGCCTCGTCCCAGTTCTCGCGATCGCCGACGCGACAATTTATACGTAACTTTCTTCTTGAAAACGACACCGAACGTTACCACTAATAGTGGGCGTCGCCTAACATTACACATTATAAATAAATGGCAATCAGTTATTTAATACCAACGAAACGTGACACGGTCCTGTGGTGTAACAGGCAAATAACTGTTCTCATTTTTATTTTGTTTATCGGAAGCACCAATGAAGAAAAATATAACACTAACATAAATAAACTGAATATAAAGTGCACCTTATTTTACACCTTTATATGGTCGCATAAGAACCACGTTTTTACAATATTATTAACAATCTTAAGACCTCATGCACTTACATTACCAGGCAAGTCTCTGTTAGAAATAGGGCAAAGCTAGCAAAATACTTACTTAGAGAACATCGCCTAAAAAAGAACGTATAAAAAAATCTCTCACGTGCAACAGTTTGTTACAAATGACAACGCTTAACATTTCTCTGATCCTGAAGATATATAACGTTAATTATGTTTCAAATCCAACATCAACCAATAATTTGTTAAGTAACTGTAATGAAAAAAGAAAACCAAAAGATTACTTTAAAAAATTGACTGTGATTGCGAGGCGACGCGGTATATTTCCATTGGCTTACTCCTTACAAACCGTAGGCATTAACACCTCTCCCTTTTTAAATAATTCAAGCAAATTAAAACGATTTGATCAACGAATGTTATTGAATTGCTTTAATAATCTTACTAGCAAAAGTATTAAACGAAATATTAATTTGGATGAACCATAAATTGGACGTCATCTCAGTGCAGAAATGCTTTATCTGTTTTTCTCTGGAAAAAGGGCATAGTTTACAAGCGTTTAGAAGATATTGGAAACAGCTCTTTCATACTTTTGCTAAATCTATAACAAAGTATTGCTGACAATGGATCTCGATTGCAATGAAATGCTTAACTAAACAAACGCTCCTTACCTCAATGTAGCCCACGAGTTCTTTTACATGTAAAACGACTCCCCATAAGCAATCGTTCCTGACCTCACGTTGTAACTACCAGCCTCGATGGAGCGACGGACGTCTGACAAATCCAACTCACCAGAGCGGGAACGCAGCCTCACCTCAGGAAAACCGTACGTTTCCGCCAAAATCCGCTGTTTCTTCTTCTTCTTCACTCCAAATAGATTGCCGCATTCAAGACGGCCCCTTCGTTTCTTAATAACATAGCCAACGCCCAGGACAACCATGACAAACAATACAATCAACAGTGCCCAGGCCATCGCGAGTTGCCAAGATATCACGTAAGAGTTTTGTACGCCAGTGGATTCATCCTGGCCAAAAGAATTCAAACCATTGTTGGAATCACCTGGAGTTTGCGAGTTGTTCAGTACCAGTGTGCCAGAAGGGGCCACGCTTGACGAAATCACAGCAGAGCTGGAAGTGGTGGAAGAGGATTCCTGGCTTATGTTACCTTCACTCAGTGGCAAGGTCACTTCATTAGGATTACCTGAAGGGGTATTGAAATCTGTAAGAGTTGGCTGTGATGTCGACACCTCGTCAGCGACTTTACCGGTTAAGGATAATTTAGTACCCATGGTAACCGGTTTGTCATAGTTCGTGGTGATCACCGGCGTTGTAATTTTCCGAGTTGTCCTAACCTCACGCTCGGTGTAATCAGGAGTAGAAGTACTGGGAAGGGGTTCAGTTGTCGTCGGATTCACAACGCGGCACAAGGAATTGAAGAAGCGCGCGGCCTCGAGTTCCATCTCGTCCGTCAACTCACTGTTGTTATTTAGTGAACCATAGCATTCTAGAGGTCCAACGGTAAAATACGATCGAGCGGCGGACGAAGGAAACTGCAGAAGAGTTACCGGTAGGTGGGCCTTGTCTGTAACGTACCCTTAAAGAAATAGAGCACAAATTGCTAAATGTTAAGAGAGTCCTATAAGGTAGAGGGGATTGGGAAGAGACAAGGAGCTACAAGGGGAAGCTAGACACGTGCCATGTCATTCTCGTCACCAGAACGTGTTAGCGGAGATAAACACTCTTCGGAGCCTACGTTAAGAGAAAACCAATTGGAAGCATTCTATTAGAAAGAGAATTCCAAACGTTTCCTTTACAAAAAGACGCTTAACAAAATTATTCTCTAAGTAGCAGACACACATCGTATTATTTTGCAATCCATGCATCTGATTGATTCTCCCATTGCTTTTTATTCGCCGCAAAATCGCCATGGTCAAATGTACATTGGCTTTCAAAGGTAGATTGACTTTTGTTTTTCTTTTCATGGCTTAAATGCCATAGTCTGTAAGTTTCTGATTTTTATTCTTTGCTGTGTATTCTAAACAAGTTTTCTATGTATTATTGGCTTCGCCTTCTACGCCTTCTTCGCCTTCTTCTTTGCCGGTCCTTGTTAACAATTCTCTCACTTGAGTTTCCTAGTCTAATTGTGTAATGTTCATCTTTAGCGGGAAAGGAACCTACCTTTATCTTCTCTCCATGTCTTGTCCCCAATGTCGCAGTTGCAAGGCAGTCTGGGATCTGCGCACGTTCCGTTTACTCCGCATGCGCACTTGTTACTACTCGCAGGCGCACCTGGCCAGTGGTCAGTTATTGTTTTCACCGCAGCCCCTCCTCCCCAAAGAACAGGAAACCCAGGTGCACGCATAAGTTTAGTCTCAAAACACTTGAAGCTCACAAACTGACGACATCGGTCGCTCTGTGCTATCAAAGCCTTGATCCCTTCGCGGTCATCTTGATATTTTACATAATGGATGTATACTAGATCCTTGTAGTTAACATCTGCAGACACAACAAGCTGAGATCCAATTTTGTTATGATCGATGAGCGATACCACCTGGTTTTCATCAGTCACGTTGCAAAGCACTTTCAGGGGGCCTGCAGGTCCTTCAGCGTCCGGGTCCACTTTACAGTAGGCGTCGTTAGCCAGGGCAAGATTCTTGTACTCCTGGCAGGTTTTTAAGTAAATGGGTCGTTCGCAGCGAGCCCCACGGTAAAATGTCCTTTGGCAATTGCACGAGAAAGCGCGTACCCCAGACCGTGCCTCGCTACACGTACCGTTGTGTAAGCATGGATTTGGAAAACAGTGGCTTGAAATGTTGCACTGGTTGTGTACGGTGCCTCGAATGTAACCAAATGGTATACGCTCTAAATCGACGACGCGGTCATCCACATGCAAATCGTGAATACATCCGAAGAAGTTCGGGCCTCCGTCGGGGGATCCGATGAAGATTTCGCGGAAACGTTTAGTTTGATTCAGGAGTGGATTTTCGTGTCTTAATTCTGGTAGTTGATCAACTTTGAGTTTCATCTCCGCTTTGCCGACAACGGCGGAGAGATCATGCCACTCGCCATCGTTCAAACCCTCCCCTTGGCTTATCTGAATCACCGCATCTCTCACTGACTGCCGAAATTGGAGAAACATTTTTCCTTCTACCAGGGAAACACCAACATATCTATGGGGATACAACCCTTTCACCGCTAAAATTCCGTCTGCAAAGTAAGTACGAAATCGCATATTAATACGTAAGTGATGTCTGTCTGTCGTCGGCGACGGAAGGAAAAGGTAACTTTTTTGATGCTGAAAACTTAGCGTTGCAAAATGTACATGACGGCAAATTTTTTGCGGGGAACCAAACACCCTGCCCTCTCCATCAGCCTGCGTTTGGCCTGCCAATATGTTCCGTTTGTCGAAATACACGTCTCGAAGACAACCACTGAGATTTGTAGATGGCTTATATCTTTGAAGAATGTTGAATGTGTGTTCAGGAACTCCACCAGCGAAAACGAAGCCTGCATTAATGTCAAGCCTGAAGTATTCACTGCGCAATATAGTGTGGTATTTTTGCCCGCGAAGACTAACATTCAAATGCCTCCCGACCAGCTTCAACTTTACTGTGTGCCAGTAATTATCTGCCAAGTTGTCGTCAAGCAAAAGATCACCTGTTGCAGTGGCAAGGTCGTCACCCAGGTTTACAGTGATTCTGTAATGAGAGAAAACGCACAATGTAATGAATACCTGATTTGATCACTGATAATCATTTATTACGTGTAGAAGTACCATTGGCTGATCTTGTATGCTTAACAACGGGAGGGAAGGGGGAAACTTAAATGCCGCTTTTCTTCGTTGCTTAAGCCCTGGCCAAACGGACTCGCAAGTAGTTGCAAGTAAGTAGCCGCAAGTTGAACTTGCGCAGAGAGTTGCGTTGGGTGACCAAACGGACTCGCAAGTTCCCTCCCTAGTACACTCAAGTCGCCAAAAATCCTATCTCAGACCTATCCTGCATTTCATTGACTGGAACTGTCGACGACAATTTCAAAAGCCAAAACGGTGGCGAATTAAGCAAAAACCAGGGGTGCTTTCTATTTTGCCAAAAAGTCCGGAAATTTCGGTCGAAATTCAAATGGAACGTCCGTTTCGGTCTGGTCTGACCGGATAATTTGGAGATAAAGGCTGGGTCTGAACGATCCAAGGGGACCACCCCCAGGAGCGGGTGCACTTTGATCAGGCGAACCCAGCCCTTTTTCTCAGTTGGCCCGGTTTGATGGGTGTGTTTATTCCACAACGGTATTCCATGGTTACCATTAATAATTTCTCTTTTCATTTGAGCTATTTCATTTGATCCGCCTTAGAACGTTGGACTAATAGAGTTGATAACACATACTGATACATTAATTCAGGGAAAAGAAGTTAGGGGCCGGTGGACGTATCGACTGTAGGAAAATCTTCCTCAAGGAGAGGGTACGGCCTTAGGGCTGGCCAATAAAATGTGTTTTAGGGTGGAACTATCAACAGAATATTTGTATATGTACTACAGAAATGGAGACAAAGATTTGTAAATAGTAAGAAAACAACTTTGACCTGGACAGAAATTGTAATACAGTATGGTGCAGCAAAAAATCAATAACTTCTAGTTTGTATGGTTAACCACAACAATTAATCCTTAAATTCACCACAAATCCCATCCAGAGAAAAGGCACTTAATGAAATGGATTTTTTTTAGCGGTATCTTAATAGTTATATTATGCAACAACATTTTGCCAAGTGTCTTTCTTTCAAAGGCTTTAAAGTTGCATCTATAGTCAAAGTTGGCATCAATAGTCTGTTATAATTTAGATTTGAAAGAAAATATTTAGGGTCCTGGAGAGGGGGAGAGGGTTATAAATTCCATTTCTCAGCCATTTTTTCCTCATATCCCAGTCCCATCCCCATTCGTTTTTTGTCACCTCCAGTCCCAGTGACCCAAATCTCATTGTCCTGGTGAAAAAAAATAGGCTAATACCAGTTCCCATTTCACCCCTACTTACCCCTCAATATGGGTGGATTTAGGAGATTTTGCATGGAATGGCGGGGGGGGGGGGGGGGGGGGACCCTTTTGGGTTACTTGCACAGAAAAGGCGGGTAGGGCCGTTTTAATAAAGAAATGAACAATTTTTTTCCTTTCAAGAANGGGAGGGGGGGGGGGGGGGGGGGGGGGGGGGGGGGGGGGGGACTCCTCCCCCTTTCAACTAGGACGTTTTGCGTAGAAACACACTTAAAATCTGTCATTAGAAGCCCCAAACTGTTCATCAAAGGGTGCAAAAAATATATCTCTGAGTGCATAACTGAGATATTGGGCATGCCCCCCCCCCCCTTCCCTACACTCCCTGAGGAAATTGTGCAGCTTCTTGTTTGCATGTAAAAGATGGAAAGAAAAATGAAGATGGCTTTTTGTACTTCCGGTACCACTGAGTAAATTTAATAAAGAGGTTATGATTTTCAGATTCACTTATGATAAAGAAAGAAAACACTCTGAAACTACCGCCCAACTACTCAAACCGGGAAATGCTCAAAGCAACAGGAACGGAAAAAAACCTGGTTGACCACGATGTTTCGTTTAAATACAGACCACTTTAGGGATTGAAATATACGAGATAAGCTTTAAACCAAGGAGATGCTTTCCAATCAACTTGTTGTTTTAAAGATTGTTAATCCTGCTCAACTATTTGCTGCCGCTTAATTGAAACTTAAGCAAATGTTTTCAAAATGTTTCATTCGATGGTGACGTACAGAACATACTGTAAAAAAACCTGGAAACATTGAAAGCGACTGCTGCCTTATCTAAAATAAATACACATTTCTGGTAATTGAAAAACAAATAAGCGTGGTTTCGAAGAGCCATAAAGTCGCAAAGAAGGCTTTTTAGTCTATTAAATTAGCGTGTCGTAAATTGTATTCAGATAACATCGGTAGATGTAGGATCATGTAAAGATCAGAGGCACATTTAATTTCCTTCTCGTGTAATTTTGTCAGAGGTTTCGCTGTGTGAAGCCCTGAAATTGTAATTAAAGAGACGTTTTGAAGATTAACACGTTCAAAATTACCTTACTAAAGTGCAATGCAGGGGCAACGCATCGTCTCCGAATTGCTATAAATAACTGAATATTACTTCATCGTAATTCGATGCCATTATTTGTTTATTCTGCTAGCTCGAACAACCTGCACAACAAAACCCTATTTATGCGATTTTTCGTCCTTTAATAACCCATGGTTGTCTGTGTCGGTGATATTAAGAACTGTTTTCAACTAGTGGAAAGAGTGATTTAGCCATAGAGTGAGTGGATTACATTTTTTGTTGATCCGTAAGTGTACAAAAGTAAACATAAACCTTACAATTCTACAGTAAAACTGACTTCATACCTGAGCTTTCCACGAACTAAATCAAGCATGAGGAAATCAGCCTGTTCCATTTCACTTCCAATATAAACTAGCAAGCCACTTGGATGAACCGTCTTGAAATCAAGCATAAGAGAATGTTTCTTGATCCGTGATAACCAAGGCATCGAGCTTAAGTTGTACGCGACAAAATCGTCGCCATCAACTCGTATTTCTTGGCTACCTGACTTCAAAATCATGCAGAGTACGAGGCCAAAGACAACGAAACCCGTCCTAAAATGCTCCATGTTAAATACAACCGTCTGAAAAATCTTGAAACTACTGCCAACGAAACTATGTTCACGTGGGAAAAGATTCCATTTGATTGACTGACGGATGGCAAACTCCTCCCTTCGATTCACCGTGTCGGCTTCAATGGGCCCTTTGCAGCTGGGGTCACGTGACCAAATTTTTCCGAGAAATTTTCATATTATGGGCTATAACTTAAAGAATGCCAGAATTGGAAAGAGCGCATCGAAGATACCTAATTGTCCAAGTTTGAGGCCCCTGGCATTAAAGAGTACGTTTATACGACAGCTTGAATTTTCGGAAAATTTAGAGGATTTGTATGGAAAATGTTGCTGGAGAACAAGACCTTGCTCTCCAACAACTTTTTCCATAGAAATCTTCTTATTCTTTTAAAAATTCAGACTGTCATAAAATCTCATTCCTTAATGTTATGATCTCATTCCTTAGTGTTATGATACAAATTCTATCCATTTCCCCGCATAATAAAATGTCAAAAAGCGCAAATTTAGTATATTTCTTTCATACACGTGTGGGTTGAGATTGTTGTTGGTTTTCGCTTTGCTCTAAGGGTTTTCTCTGGGTTCTCCGGTTTTCCTCCCCTTCAAAATCAACATTCCAAATTCCAGCTCGACCTGGTTTGTGTTTCAGGCGACTAGCAGGCGTTACAAGATGCTAAGAGCAATTCCATATTTTAGCAAAGTTGTGTCATTATTATTTTAAGATGTACAACGTTTTAACACCTACTGGCCTAATTCCAGGGCCAAGCAAAGGTTTTCTTCCTGCATTTCCCGTGAAGGTAAATAACGATTACTGATAATGACTGTTGATTGAAATTTTCAAATTAAGATAACAGTAATAATGATGATGACGACGACGACGGTGATGATGATGACGTCGATGATGATGATGACGACGACGGTGGTGATGATGACGTCGATGATGATGATGACGACGACGGTGATGATGATGCCGTCGATGATGGTGATGACGACGACCATGATGATGCCATTATGATGGCGATGACGATAATGGTGATCCTTCCTTCATGCATGTGTGAACTAGACTTTCCAAAAGTCCTTTCCAATAATTTTTCACTGCCCTTTTGGTTTAGTGTGAACAAGTAACACTAAACAATTAGGAAAGCCGCCAAACACCGCAACGTATTGCTTGCAACGGTTGTATTGTATTTTACAGCCATACTGAGCAAAATAAACCCAACAAGATACAGAGACCGCGATTTAAATCCCCACGGAAGCCATTACCCTCAAAGGTCGCCTCCGACAATCCTGTACCGCGAGGTACAGAGCCGCTCATCATTTTGCTCCGCCTAATCCGGAACTCAGATCTCCCACGACCAAGCGTCAAACAGAGTGAGGTCTAGGTTCGAGATAACTCGGTTATACTGGTTCATTCTCAGTATAAGTTAGTTATCAGACATTGTATCACTTTGTAAGTGATCTGCAAGCAAGAAGTCGCATCAAGAATGAATCAGTTTGCAGTCCTAATTGTGATGCATACCTTGTTGACTCCCGAGACCCGATAATTTAAAACCCCAAGTTACTCGAATCTCACGCTAATTCAAACCAACCCTGTTTGTCATTGGATTTATACTTACGTCATTTACATCAATTTTACCATCAGCTCTGGAACTCAAAGCCTCGATTACTCTCGAACCTCTCGCTAATTCAAAGTGATTTTACTATTCCTTTAGGACAATTTCTTTGAATTAACCAGCGAAACTCATTTTCCAAAGTCATCTGAGCCAAAGGTCTCCACGATCATTGACACCAATACATAAACTGAAATAGCTTCTGTTGTTTTCTTTGTTTGATTCTTTTCACTTCAGATCTGTTACGCTTTACTATATTGACAAAGTATCTTATCAGTTTTAGCTCTTATACGCTGTAAAAAGCCTGATTGAAAGTCAAACACAAACCGTTTAGTTCCCTAGTTTCCGGTCAGCTTTTTCGTTATCGATCCTTATACCTTCAACCGCCCGTTCTCCATCTCCCTCGAAGGTCTTGAAGGTTGGGAAGTCAAATATATTCACCTGAGACTTGCGAAAACAACATCCTATAAGTAAACCAGTAAAGCCGTGAAGATGGTCGTCGCTAGTCTGAATCGACGCCATCATTGGTTATTGACAATCAACCATACGCTCCATTTTTAGCACTAAAACGCGTGCCGCTTAAAACACTGACGCCAAAATGACGATTTGCAAGGAGAAGTCGCTCACTGGAAAACAAAATCCTGTTGTTAAGTTAAACTATATAACTTTTGAGCGGAAGATATATAATTAAGGGCTCGTCCACACTACGCGCGAGAAATCTGAAAACGCAGCTTTATTTCTACCGAGTAATAGACCTACCGTCCACGCTAATCCGTCACGAAAATAGACCTTTTCGAAAACGTTCTTCAAATCGGGGGAATTTGTAAACGCCGGCATTGTGTTTTAGTGTGGACGGGAAACATTTTGAAAAAGGAAGCTTTTCATGTGTTTTCCCTGCGCGAGTTTTCCTCAAACACAAATCTAAAATGACCGGTGATTGCTACGTTTTCAAATTTCTCCTGCGTAGTGTGGTTGGAAAATATTGGACCTGTTTTCAGAGTGAGTTCAAAAACGCCGTTTTCAAATTTCCCTGACGTAGTATAGACTGGGCCTTAAAGTTGCGTTAATGTACAATCCAATACAATGTTTCAATTATCCAGATGATGTTGGGTAAACCAAGTCTGGCGAAAGATTTTTTTGAAAGATTTTATACACTAAACACTTCGTACAAATATTCGTGCCAGCAGAGATGTTAATTTGTGTTTTTATTTCCAGGTGGAAAATTTCCCTCTTGAAAAAATTAATGGCCCTTTTGCGTTTCAGTTTGGCAAAGTTTAAATTTTGAACAAAAGTATTGCATTCGAAATCTTTACACACAGACTTGTGATACGCAGGCCGCTTAAGAATCCAACACATCATCGATTGTGTTTTACTAAGACGTACAAAGACACTGAATTGGCTGTTAGGCCGGATAAGGTGATTCGAAGTTCATTTTATGATCGAAATAAAACAAAAATAAAAAGCTATCACAGTGGTGCTCTAAATTTGCATTGAAATAGTTGCAAACCGATCAAGTTGTTTATCTAGCTTTGTATCCGGAGAGCATAAATTACATATCACTTTTATTGAAAATGAGTTTTTAAGTCATTCCGCTCAATTTGGACTTGGTTTACAAAATACAGCGGCAAAAATTAAAGGAAAAACTGAGTTATTTTAAACAAGAAATTGAGCGATGTTTATAGAATCCAGCAGTATATACACATATTGCCTGTTTTCTACAAAATAAATAAACTCAGAAAAAAGATGCTGAATTCGAAACTGTACTTGAACAATGTCTGATGATAATTTCATTTTTGCCATATATTCAAGTATACATTTGGTAGGCTTAATTGAGAGGATAAAAGAGAGGAACTTCCGTCTAGATCCTTAAAATTTCCTTTGAAGTCAGTAGCACCGCTAATTCTAAAGGATATCAACTTACTATATTCGACAAACATAAAAATCTGATCGTCTTTGGGGCTATTAGCTTTGATTTCTAGCCATATTTGGGATCGACTCCGGTGGTCATTCCAAATCTCAACAGGGAACAGTGGTTCTCACAAAACGGCTAAGAATCCGGAGCCTTGACAGTTATTGTTAAATTACTATGACTTGCCCTGAAGACATTTCTTGAGCGACAAAGTCAAGAACGTTGCGTAATCCATCCTCTTTAATATCGTGATCTATTGTGTATTCCGACCATTTAGAACTTTTGATGTTGCTTGCTAAGTTCTGTCAAATTCTAATCTTTAAGAGCCTTTGACAATAGCTAACCGATTATCTCGACTCTAGCTGAATATGGTCTCCGCTGCGGGATGTTAGATAAGCAAATGAAAATGGTTTTGTGTAAGTAATGTTTAATTATTACCTCTCGTGGTACATTCAATTCTAAATCCGGTCGACCTCTACAATAAAGAACTGATAATGCCAGCAGGCCCTTTAGAAAATACTGAAGTCGATGATAACTGATATCAACCTTTCATTTATCTACATGGATATATCGAATGCGCTTATAGTGTAAATATCTCGATACAATAAATTCGATATCTTCTTGAAATTGGAATAAGGTAATAACTCTGGCTTGTTACGCACTTGGCTGTGTCGCGTCAAGAGAAAAAATAAGATCATGGTCTCTTGGTCGCGTACAAATCAATTGGGTCAGTCAATCCTTTTTGAATGGAAAAGATCCCTACGTTTTTTTTTCTACATTACACACTGATTTTGCGCATCATGAAATGACCAACGCCCTCTAACTATTTGCCACGAATTTGATTTGCGTGATCGGGATTTTCCGCGAGCAGCAGAACCCTAACGAGAGATAAATATCACACCAGGAATGGATAGGACTTGTTAGGAAGAAAGTATTTTGTGGTGTATGAAACTCAAGAAGCATGACTGCCATGGAAACTTCATGTCACACGAAAGCCAAAAACAAAATGTTGTGCACTTTTTTTTTTAAGCGGGGGCGGGGGACGGAATTTAAAGTTTGCCATCGGGCAGCGGACACACGCTACCATGTAATTCTCCAGCCCTCCTCTATCCCTCCCTCCCTCTCTCCTCCCCCAGTTCAAACTGGCATTCGATATGACGTGATTTCTGCCACTAAACAAGCTATCACGTGAGGCAACATTTAAATAAATTTAGTATCTGAATCAGATTCGCAAAGGTGCCATACGGAATTTTGAAGCTTTGCTCCAACAGAAAGAAATCACTAAATGTTATGGAAAACAGACGAGGACACGGGAATGTGTATGGACGATGTCTGCCATTTTTAAGCGTCAAGTGTAGTCCAGGTGAGCGCAGGTTTTCGCTGGGATGTTGATCGCTAAAGTTGCGACACCGTAACTGTTTCTCGAGAAGCTTTTTTAACGAAAGGGATTTAAGGAAATAGTTTTCCACTTTTCACTTGACTCCAAAGATGACTTCCACCCAGGCTGTCAAAACGTCAGTCACCAAAAATTGACTTCTTTTCAGAACTACCCTCAAATCCAGACGATCACAATACACGAATTACTGATACTACTGGCTTGAGTTCAACCCATACGAAGCGATCTTGACGGTTCTATTTTCTTTCCATTCTTTCCATTTAACATTTCATTAACAGATGTTTCTGCCCTGCAGAGCTAAATTTAGGGCATGGACTGACGCCAGTGAACGTTAATGTGACTGCGATAAGGATTCAGGAACTTTCCACGACTCCAACGAAAGCCATATCAAAGCTGGCGTTTTGTGTGATTCACGCTGACCGGGTGCTCCCATCTTGGGTATTTATCATTTAACCAGACAGCCACACGAGCGAGTCTATTCAAAGGATCTTTTAAGAGATATCTATCAGTTCAACTGAATACAAATTATCTATCTGTTCGAAAATAATGTTTATGTATTTCGGTCAGCGCGATAAGGGATGAATTCTCTCCCGCAGCTTAGAAGAAATTTGCATATCTCTACATTTTTGCGCCTTGTCTCGTCAAATTAGTTCACCTGAATGTTCCGCAATATTGTTATTGTCAATTCTTTATTCCCATTTTAGCGACAATGTAATCTGTAATTATATGCAAGAACAATCCGCTTACTGTCTTCACCTCATGTCAACTAACAAGTAATCAAAATGCAATCGAAAATATAAGGTTCTTGCCAACTATTTCCATAATAAAACTTACAACAGCTGTACCATTAGACAAAGAATTTATCCTTGTCTGCTTGTTATAGTAGAACTATTAGCAAGCCAAATAGCAAATATTAAAATAAACATATGAAAAGTTTCCTTTTCAGCCCCCCCCCCCCCGGCAACGCGGAATGGGCTTAAGTTTGGTTTTTACGCTAACGATGCAAAATTATAGTTTAACCTCCTAGCTTTTACTTAATATAGTATATAGAATGGCGCTATTTTGACTGCCATTAAATCCATTGAGTTCTTCCGAAATCGAGCTTCACTTCAGGCAAATCATTAAAATTATCTCCAAGATGTCCAGAATATAAGTTATGGCAGTCATGCAACACAAAGCAGCGTGTGTTTGCTCCAAACACCGCGAGTAACATTACGTGAGGGCCACTGGGTCAGAAGAAAAGTACAGTTGATGGCATTTAAATCTTTAAGCAGCTCTATGTGTAATGACTTTTTTTTTTTATGTTATTACACATTAAAACAAAACAATTTCATGAAATCTGTCCTGGTTGCAAATATTCGAATACGGCATGCAATTTTTGCGTAATTTGAGTTTATAATGTTCACTGTTGTCGTTACGTTCTTTAAAGCAACAAGTTTTGTCTTTAATTTCTTAGCTTGAATGCGTAAAATTCTTGTTTTGAAAAGAAAATCTCCACATCTAATATTCAAAAAAAAAAATACCTGGGAATTTCTCGCACCTGTCAAAAACATGCACTGAACTGATGACTTGACACTTCGAAGTAGTCTTCATTTACATTGGAAAAACTTTAATTATGATTCATTGATGTACACACACCCCTACACAACTTCTGTTTCGATCCGTCACCTCATCACTTTGACTAGAACAGTATTCGTTGGAAGAAAATTTGCCCGGTTGTTTACAGCAACGAAATATAGCGCATGCAATTTCGTTTTATTTTCTCAGTGAAGCTTTTTATCTTGTCGATATTGTGAGGCTTTGCAAAGGACTATTCGCTATAGTTTACTGTCGGGAACAAAAACAAACTACCTTAGCCCTGCGGTAGATTTTCAAAGACTTTTGTAAACCATGAACACGTATGTACATTATAAACATCCCATCTTGACATCACAGCAAGAGCTGTAAATTTAGTAAACATTGAGAAAATTTAGTGCTGTGTGAGCTGACGTACGACAGAAAAATCGCTTTTTTCACTGTGAGACTGAGCATGAAACTTTCATATTGATCAGTGCATGCAGTTAAAACGAGCGATTAAATAAAGTGTACCTGCTTGGACTTATCAATGTCGAAAGGATATGTAGTTAATATATGCCAAGTTTGTTCTATATTCAAGACACTAAGTGGCTAGTTTTTGTCTAGCGAATTTTCAGTTACAAGACAAAGCATTGTTTACATAAAAGGGGGCGACTACGCATGAATTATCGTCCCGGAAAAGCGCAGCTGTGCTTATATCGCCATGTATTTCGCTCAGATCGTCGATGCTTGGTGACATCGAATGAAGGATTTCAACATCACTCTTAATCACAAGTTTCTAATCTCCGAAAGGCGCTTGTAGATAAACCATATCACAATAGTAAGGAAGTATGGCAGGAAAAAGAGAAAATTTAGAACGGGACATCCTTCAGGATGGAAAGAAAGCCGCATCCGTGACGAATAACATCGGTGAATCAACGCAGAGAGACTTGAAAAGCAGTGCAAATATCCACACAGACAAGAACGAAGCCCGCTTAACGGCTCCGCGGAATTTAAAGGTATGAAATACGGCGCCGTTATTTTTTTTCGTTGTTGTCGGTCGTTTATTCGGACGAACGTGTTAAGAGTACTATAAATAAGCGTGTCAATACAATAGTCGTGACTTAATAGCTTTAACGAGAAGCCGAACAGAATAATGTTTTTCTATATACATTCACTTTCGCTTGTGGGTACAACCTTAATTTATTGCGCCCGCAAAAGAAGTTTTTGGCGTTCTTAGATAGCTTATGCGAAGACGCTTGTGTCTTAGTAACCTTAGAATCGTTTTATCACTTGGCCTGCAATATGTTAAACAGTGCTTCAATAAAGTATGATGTTGAGTAAGTACTTTTTTTTCAAAAGATTTGGTGACTGAAACAAGATATGGGATTGTTTGTCGGTGGTTTGATCGGGAGTTCCTGCCGAAAAAACTACGCCCTTCGCAACCAAAGTTCCTTAGTTCTCTTTCCTTCAAAGTTCCACCCGGCTGTGTTCAAATAACATTTCCATATGGTGTAGATTTCGAATAAACTTCTTACACACACATCTGTGACTCTGTATTTTTGCGAAAAATTAAATACTATACTTCATATGCAATGAGAGAATTCCCATGCCAACATTGCTGAGATGTTAGTAGCGTTTAGCCTTGTGCATCGATTCTTTATTTTCTAGCAAAAGATGTTTTCAAGAGCGGCTGGCAATATGGAGGCAAGAAAGTCACATTTAATGGGCAGGATTTGAAGAAAGATTATGTTAACGATATTAAGTACCTCTATATTGCTCGCTTGAGAAAAATGAAAGACAACTCCTCGGGCAAGGAAAGTAATTAAAAACCGGTTCTTGGAACGGAAAATCATTAAATAAATATTTGCTATTCATTTTCCTGAAATTTTTATCGGTATATTGAAAGAAGAAATGAAACGTCACAAATGGAGACTTTGTTCAAAATATATCTGTCACGCTATACTCCCAAACTTTGCATTCAAAGACAGTTCGTGCATTTCTGTAGCGTTGCGATTAATTTTCCAACAAAGAGGTGACAGAAAAATATTTGCACTTTCAAAAACTTGACATTTATGCAAATCAGCTAGTCATTAGAAATGGACATTTGAATACATTGTCATCATAAGCGGTTCAGATAATGTGGCCCCGTAGTGCTACAGTTCCAGAAAATAATACTTCTGGCGAGACATCAATAATTTCGATTTGAAAACGCATGACAAACCATGTACAGTTTATTTAGCTTTCGCTGTCCGACTGTAGTTCAAAATTCCATTGCTAAGTAATGTTAGGTGATGCGTTGGCCTAGAAAAACTTGAACAAAAGTAAATTGTCACGAAATTACAGGAGCCGTGCGCATATACGACAGGGCGAGGACGACAGCCTATTAGAAAATGTGCCTACATTCGACTTCAGAATTTCGCAGCGTCTAGATTTATTCCGTCTGTCTGTCGTTATAAAAAATTGAAACTTCTGATTAAGCTACGAACGCGTTCAGCTCCAAATAGAAATAAGAAAACTTAGCTGCAGTCGGCTCACGTTCTCCAGAAAAAAACTTGGAAAACGGCCATGGTGATTTGCAAAGGTTGCTACGAAATGTACAATGATGTAAAATGGACGTGCGGATCCATTGTTCTGCTCAGTAAGTCTTTTGTCTGGCGACGTTCTCGTTGAGGCGCGTATATTATCCATTCGTGTTTTTTCCTTACTGAACTTGCTATCAAATTCTGAACCTGTGAACGTGACGGGAAACATAAGGTTTTTCATAATAATGTTCTGTTTTTCCTTGTTCGATGTTTAAAAGTAGGAAACACTTAGGGCATAACAACATCTGGGTGCGAAGTTGATTGAGAATGAATGCCAAAACATTACACAAAATGGACAAATGTTTTGCTTAGAAATAGCCGATATATCACTACATACGTGCTTAAGCAAGGAAATGGTCTTCGGAGCATGTAAGGTTTGTGAAAAATTTATTTTCACTTTACGGTTGTATCCGGCACGAATTGAAGCAAACAGAAGCTAAACATGACCTTTGGTCTACCGCTTAAATAGAGAAATTGGGAGTGGTGTAAGAGTAAAAGACCGTAAAACTCTTGAAATTCCAAATTATAGCGTCCACCCGTGGGAGCAATTATGATGGAACAAATCGATCAGTTCTTACAGAATGACACTGGACTACAACCGCTAGAATTCGTTTTCTTTCCCTTTAAATTTGAGGCCGCAATGGGGGTTTAAACAACAATTGCCCTAATCAATATGAGAGAAAAGGAAAAGTTAAGGATTCTGGTGGTTTTGTTGTCGAATGACCGCTTTGGAAATCGCTAATTCGATAAGGGACAATGGAGCTTTCCGGAATCCAAAGCCCACATTGCTATTGGTCAGGAGAAAACTACTGGCAATGACGAACTGAGGAATGAGATATTTCACTTAGGATATTTCCGTTGTAAGTATTTTGTTTGTGGCGCACAATTTTTCCCTGACTGGCGTGTTCTTCCCTTTGATATATAGCCATGCATAAATCTTCTCCGATCTCACCGGAGGCTGTCACGTTTGCCTGTTTGAAAGCGTTGGTCTCTTTGGATGGGCTAGAAATTCCGCTATCAACCGTGCGTCCTTCCACGCCCACAAGTCTTTCTGGCCATGGGATAACAAACTTGGGCAATACTGAAGTCGGTTTTATACATGCTACGAAACGACGGAAAAGCTTTATAGTTAGTTATGCATTGTGTAATTTGTTATATTTTCGCTTGCCAGGACGGAGAAGTCAGCAATTTGAATTCCACCGCACAGCTTTCTTCCAATGGATCCCAAAGGAATATAATCGACAACTTCCAGCAACCGCGCCAATCCTCTCCAAATCAAGGTGTCAGCGGGGAAAATTCACAGGCGCGTCAAATACAGGGGTCAGTACCGAGGGATCACAATCAGAATGGCCCTGAAACACTAGCATCGCAGGAACTCATCGGAGTAATACCCCCAAGGGACATAGAGCCCCGACCACCGGACGGTGAACATGGTGAAGCGGACGGGGCAGCTAACTATCGGCGAATGGCTGTATGCCAAGAAACCGACGACGCGCAATTCCAGAGAAGAAAAATGCGCGTGTACATGAAACGGTTTTAAGGTTGGAGAAATGCAGTCAGGGGGATTGAGACATGCTAAAAGCTTTGAACACCACTTCCTTTTGCAAGACTTATTTGGACACAAACGGGGAATTATCAAGTAGTAAAGAGCTCTAACGTATTTATGTAACACCATCCAATGGATAACTTACACTCACATTGTTTTAAAGGTCAACATATGCATGCTACTTGAATGTAGAGGTTCCAATTAAGTGACCTTAGTTTGCGGCCAGTTAGTAAATTCCACTCAAATGGAACCTTTAAACCCAAGGTCTAACTACAACGTTAAGATTTTAGAAACATCACGACAGGCCAGTCTTTCCCTCGAGTTCCTTTTGCAAAATTAATGTAAGCTGGATACAAATAACTCATGATAATGAAATATCTTACACTGCCTGAATTGGTTACCTGTGATCATCCAGGTCTAGAGTAAAGACCAAATCATTCTGCACTGATAAAATGACTTTGACGCACTTCTTCGAAAATAACACGAATGAAACTATGTGCAAACTCAAACATAATGTTAGAATCGCCACATGCTAGATATTCGGGTGACGGTGAAATTTGCACCGTATTGGAGGGATTATGAATATTCAGACATTCGTTGACTACCAAGTAAAATAAAGTTGATGTTAATTTGCGTCGGGACTTGAAATATTTTGTTGATTAATCATTTTTGCTTATCCCTGAATGAACATTTTACAGAGATCTTTACATTAGAGCAAGCAAAAATAGCGTAACCTTCCGCCATGATACGGGTTTACACCACCGTTACGAAGCCCCTGATCTAAAGCGTCTTAAGCCTTGGGTAAATGATAAATTTGAAATGTTAAATACTCGCGCATGACAACATCCGTTCTCGTCCCCCAGAGCCTCCGTTTCTTTTGGTCACGTGGTCGGCGTTTTAAACCGAGTAGCGCTGGAGACGAGAATCAGAACAGCTTCCTCAGCTCTGGTACAGAAGTAAGAGATAGCTTCAAAGAATCGACCTTTCTGTGTTAATCCTTCTTGGTTTCCGCGCAAAACAATACTGTAATCTTGGAAACTCTGAAAGCGCAAGCACTGCTGAAGCAAAAACAATTTCTAGCGTCCGACAGATCTTTGATTCAAGTATGTAAGAAAGCTTACATACTGGAGTAGGAGCCTGGTACGAGCAAAGAAAACAACTCCAATTACCTTGACCAATAAAATTTATTGCTTCGACATTCAACTACCGAGGTAAATAAAGGAGTCCCGTGGGAACTACGCCATCTAACTTAGTTCAAATTACTGCACCGTTCAATAGACCCTATTCATAAATGGCTGTCAATTTAAAATTCTTCTGTATGCATTTATATTTGCCCAACTAACCTCGTTCGAGAGTAAAAATTCTTTTGAATTATCAACTCAAAAACAAGGTTAGTTGGGCTTATTTTAATACTTACAAAAGAATTTTTAATTGGCAGCCATTTACCAATAGGGTCTATAACACGTGAACTCAGCACAGTTCAAGACCTTACTAATAATTCCTACCACATTCAACGAACATTGGGAAAAAGAAAACAGAAACCCACAGACTTGGCCCATGCAGCCTGTTTAAGTGGGTAACTGTTTTCCGAGAGGTCGAATAAAAGGATTATTGACCAGCAGCAGCGATAAACGCAACCGTTGATTCAGCAGTTGGCGTGTTTGTCCAGGCGCTCCGCAGTAATAGGCCATATTCGTATTCTCGGTATTGGACTGGAACTAACTTGCAATGGAGGCTCATGCGAGGAATATCATTAAAAAGAGATTAATGTCATTTGCATTTGAAAAGACTTCCCGCATTAGCCTCCATTGCAAGCTAGTTCCAGTCCATTACCGAGAATACGAATGTGGCCTATTTGCAAGGGATGACTCAATTCGAAACAAATGAATGGTAAATGAAGCAATTTTCAACAGTGAATAAGGTACTGTACAAAACTTTATTAGCATTTGATTACAAGCATTTAATTTCGTTAAAAAAGGACATCTGGAAAATGTTTTCCCCAGTATTACTCCACGAAACGGCCAGCTATACAACAAAATAACAGTTACCGTCCAATATTTTACACAATTAAAATTAAAGCGAACTCAAACTTAATTTATCTTGCCTTATCTTTAAATTCCGCACTCCAGAATTTTTGTGTAACCTGGGTACGAGCTTCGTCCGCTAGGGTATCTGGGATAGCTTGGGACGACAAGATGCGTCTAAGTGAAGGATTCTTCAAAAAACAAAATGCCGACAACCAATTGCTACTTTCCTATTCAAAATAAATACCTTGCTAACGGATGTGCCCATGACGAGACCCCCAGACTGTATAGGAAACAACAACAATCTAGGAGTCTGGAAAAGACTACAATAATGATTTTCTCGTTCCATGCTGCCTCCATTTCAAAACGGCAACCCAAGCGATCCCAGAAGCAGTCACGGTCGAGTTTCTGGAGTGGTGGTCAGCAGTGCATTACAGTATTATTGTATGTCGAACATTGCTGCTTATATTTACAAGCTAGTAATCTGTGAACTGCGGTCACAATAAATTATTCAACGACAGACGATGAGAGACATTACGGAAATCTACGTAACGAATGCGACACAGTTCTCCAGCAGAGTAAATACAGTGTACCCAGAAGAGTAAAATATTAGTGTTCAAGCCTCCAACATTAAAATGAAATTAAACAAAGGCCGAGGACGGACCAGCAAGGGCTCTTTGAAAGAGCTGTGAGAAACTGTTGAAAGCTATAATCATAAATTGGTTGATCTGGATCTACGAAAAATAAGACAACCAGTACAAACAATTTCACGTTGTATTTTGTCAAGAAATGAGTCCAACCGCCCGGCTACCAGCAGCAATGTTCGACTGTCAACACTTGGTTAAACTAATTGAACAAGTGCAAGGCTGACAGAACCTGCTTTCAACCCCACACTTATGACTTTGATTGATAAGTATATATTATAGTTATAATTATCGCCTTTCAGGCCTACTAAACGGTTTTTTGTCATTTCATCAAGCCGACGCATGAACAGGATTGCAAAGGTCGTTAACCAGCTATAAACTAAGCTTGTAAGACGCGACCCTTTTAAGCCAATGCAAGGACATCTTCGGAGAGCCAGGACAGATTTTCAGGTCATGACGAAGTCAAACGAGCGAAAGCGGCCTGATTCGACTATCTGTCCTTGGGTCTCAGAAGATGACTGTACATACAAACTCTACTTCTAGAAGGCCCTCAGGCCTTACACATCACTTTTCCTTTCTGACCAAGAAAATCTATGAAATTTTTTTCAATCAGTGTTAACGACAGAATACTTTTCAGACGAGTTCCAGGGCTGAACATCAGCCCACGAATGAAAAAGTAACAACCGGGAGTCACAAAATATGTCAAAATTCTAAATTCATAAAGATAATCATATACGCTGAAGTCTACATGAAATATAGCGTGCCTTCTGGAGGGTCTTGAAGTATTTCTTGCCTTGGAGTTTTGCAACAGTAAACGACAACTGCCTTTCATATCTACATACAAAAAGTCTACCAACATTTCTACCTTTCAAAGTTCCAAAAATTAGGTTGTCAGGGCGGAACCAACCTGTTTGATATGCTGAATTTTTTAATTCCAGAACTTTAAATTCAGTCGCACTTCTACAAAACATGGACGCATAAAAAAGCCAAATCCACAACCTGTACAATGAAATGAATCGAAAAGTCATCCAGCTAATTGTGCCCACCCACCCTCAGATCAGACGAACAGTCACATCAATTTGACCAACATCAAACGCCGAGCAAAAGCCTGGCTAGATTTCAATCTATTTCAGTGGTTACTTGTACTGTATCTCGAAAGCTATGTGATTTCCTTTGGTTATGGATGAAAAACTATATCTTACAAAAAGCTGCGAACATTCGAACAGACTGGGTAGCTGACAACAAGCTCTCCTAACCGTCTCCAGCGCTCTATTCCCTTGCGAATCGTTGAGCATTCTGTTTCACAGTCGTTACTCGGGCTGTCACGCAGAGCTTCAGCGGAGGAAAACGTTGCATTACCACCCAAGGAAAAGCGACAAAACGCGAGAGATAACAACAGCCGCACTTGCGTTTCTCACGCCCCACGATCCGCATGGAAATAGAGGTGCTGTTCCCAGTCCTGAAGATTAGAATTTAAGGTCATTTAACACTTTTCTCCTTTTTTTAAAATTCTCCAAATACAAATTAATTCGTTTATCTTTACGCTAAAGCTAACGCCAAATCTTAATTAATGGCACAAAATTTAACCCTATCACATCCTATCACAACATCTCTGTAATGTCAAGCATGAAGAGATTTTGAAAAGCAATCCAAAACAAAAAGTTTTGCTCTATTATAACAAGTCCTAGTGAAATTCTACAACAGAATGCACAAGCGCCAAACACACTACCGAAAGTGGCTGTTGTGTGGCGCAGACCCAAACAACTGCTGAGCGATGGGGTTCATAATTACAACAGGAACATAAGAAGAAGCACCAGAATGCATTGAAATGCTAAAGCGCCACTGTCACCTTGGTCATCTACAAGTGTAGAAGAGCAATCCCTAAATCTACAAGTGTAAGCTAAGTAGTACATCAAATAGTCAAAAAAACCTATCGCCTCGCTCCGTGCATTTCCATTGGCGCACCAGGGTAGGGTGGCGGGTCATCCAAGTCCTGGGCGTGACGGGGGTTCCCTCGGTTGTTCGCATTTTGTCGATTTCTGGGGTTTCGTTGGTTACGTGCCTGCTGTGATTGACGGCGCAAAGTCAGCTGACGAGCCGGTTTGCGGTTGGGATTACTGCTTGGGGTGTGCACGCTGCATAGCTTGATGAACCCTGTGGACGCAAAAATAAAATTAGTAATACTTAAGCCGTATTCTTGCGCGTACAGCAAAGGTTCAGGTGGCTAGCAACAGTTTCCAGCACTTTTAACAACTGAGTTCACTTAATCGTGGAAAAGACGTGAATCTTCCCACTCTAGGTACAATTCCACAATGACAAATGGAGGTCACCAGGTTCGGTTTTGAGTTATAGGAACTTAAAACTAAAGTTGAGGGTGTTAAACAAGTTATCCTGTTGTTACGAGAACCTACTATGCAATGACAATGATCACAACTTGTTCACTAATTATTGTGCATTTGTGTGATACCAATATTGTTAAGGACATTAAGTATGGTGGTATTTATCCGTCAAAGTATAAAGGTGGATTCCACTGTCAAATTATTTTACGTGCGTCAACCGGCGTGAATTTTAATAGCTTTGCGCACGTAAAACGAAATAGAGGAAATGTATAGATGGCTTGCGCCCGCGGAAAAAGTTGAATGCGGTTCTACCTCAAGCCGTCCATACATTTGCTCTGTTGTATTTCATGTGCGTGAGCAATAATATTCATCCCCGTTGATACACGTCGAATAACGGGACAACTACAACTACTACTACTACTACTACGACGACGACGACGACGACTACTACTACTACTACTACTACTACAACTTAGTCGAGGGTACTCAATTATATGAAAAGTAAAATAAATAACACGGACGGGCGCAGCTAAAATCACGCACTATAGGTGGCATCAGCAGATACTAACGACGCGGTGGCCTCATGGTTAGTGCGCTCGACTCCGGATCGAGCGCTCCGGACTCGAACCCTGGCCAGGGACACTGTGTTGTGTTCTTGTGTTACTCTCACAGTGCCTCTCTCCACCTAGTAACACTACGATGGACTACCATCCCATCCAGGGGGGAGTAGACTTATTCCTAGACGCATACTACAGAAACCGGGACTGAGTAAGCTCCGACCTGATGGGCCACTTGGCTCGTACGCAGACCTTACCCTTACCTGCCATAAGCAGTATCAAGCCAAGACCCATGAGTACCACAGCCCACCAATGTTGCTTGATCCATTCGAAGTATCCCAAGATGGCCTCCTTGCTGAAGAACTTGTCCTTGAGGCGTGATAACGGACCATCGGCGTCCACGGCACGACATTTGAGGAACACATCACAGTAACCATTGAAGTTATCACACGGCGCGCCAGGGAACTGCTTGAGTTCCAATTCCTTCATGGCATCAATGTCTGCTGTCGGCTTACATTCGCCATTTTCTCCGTCTTTGCAGCACACATCACAAAGGTGATCTTCCTGTTCGCATTGGCACTCCAACAAATTGTACCTGAGGCAAATGGAACCGCTGCATTCCTACAGAATGATCACAATTATACATAATTTAAAATACGTACAGGTCGACAGACTGAGGAGTTAGGATGCAAGTCTCGCCTCCCAGAGAAGACAGCTCAACCTTGTCATTCCTAACCACTCCTTGTTGGTTTGCTATGACAGCTGGTGTTCACATTGTCAGATTTTCTCGTAATACAATGAAACCCCGCCTTACAATCGGGTCGCCTCGTTCTTACGGCCCCTTTTTTGTCACGGCGAAACGCCCATACATTTTCTTAATATTAATTGTAAGAAGTTAATACGGCCAACGCCCACATTCTGAAATCCCAACCTGTATAATCCTTTATAATTTTACCTCATTTACACGGCCATTCAACCCAGTTATGCTCATATTTCCATTGTTAATATTTCATCCACGGATTCGAGTTCCAATGTTTTTAAACTTATATCTGCATTTCCAATGCCAACTAAAGAACAGTTGTTTGGAAGTGCAGTTGTGATTACCTGTTTAAGGCGTCACTCAATTCAAACCAGTTATGAGGTTTGACCTTACCCCGTTAAGCCAACCCCTTAATACGGCCAAATTTGCCTGTTGGTGACCGTATTAACGGGGTTCCGCTGCAATAATAATCAATACAATAAAACTACACAGAGGTTGCACTATTTACATTCGTTGTTATCAATCAATGAGCCCAGAGACTAAATGAACAGTTAAGTTTTTTAGTTACATGTAGCCTCCAGCCTTATCATGTCTACATGCATTTTCAAAAAAGTAGAGAGAATTAGAGGACGATATACTGGTTTATTTGACAGAAGACAAGAGCAGGTTTTATACTGAAGTGACAGCTATCTCGGGTATTGGTCTGACAGTACATAGTGTTTTTTTCGTTTTTTAAAATAGCAAATAGTTCTTTGACATGGATTGCAAGTTCTTTCCAAAACACTTAGGACATTTCTCATAAAAGAGGTCTTCTGTTTTCCTACAGTTGTTCCCGAACGTGGTCTTTGTAAATTTTTCTCCAGTATATCTGGTTAATGCACAAGACCCAACCAGTTTCTTGCGCATATTTAGTCAGAGTACATAAAAGGTTGATCGGCGGAAAACCTCCGAACACATTTTGATGTATCCATTGCAAGTCGCACAAACACAGTAATGACATTAGAACATGTAATGTATATTTGCTGAACACAACATTGCATTCAAAGTCGTGTAAAAAGCACAAACCTACCCCTGATATACACACTTGCCGTCCATTATTACATTCAGTAAGATTGGCTTTAGGCGCTGGGGCTGGGCAGGTAGCATTCGTTCCACTTAAAAAGATGTCAAGGAAACGCTAACAACAACATCAATGCCAAGTGTTTGTAAACACAGACTGACTGACTGACCGACTAACCGACCGACCAACTGACTGACTAACTGGCTGAAAGAACGAACACATGCGTGTACAATTAACGTAGCAGATTTAACCCCCTAACTGAAGGCACTATCCGTGAGTAGCCAATCTTGCTTGCATTGGCAAAGTACCCGGCGGAGCCCCATACCTATCGTGACTATCCGTAAGTACGTTCGTCCGTGCGCGAATACCTTGAAAAATAAGAGAGTAGCACCATTACCATAGCTACATCTTTCATTTTGAGAATCCATGTTATTCTTAATTGGCAGCTGTCACAACAAGCTATCCGCTGACCAGTATCACAGAACCACATCGCTGCCTCAGGCTTAGAGCTTATCGCGTGTTTTTTTAAATGACCGCTGACCAGTTACTGGTTTTTGGAATGGATCGCGGGCTCAAGCTACTTTAATTACTCTGGGGGAGGAGGGAGTACGTGAAAAGGCAAAATTTCGACGCAAATTAACCCTTGGCGCGTTGTTGACTTATCTTCCGACATATTCCTTGTACAATCGTCTCTTGGAAAGTCCCTGATATATTGTGTAATTTCGACAATCTTGGTTACGCTTGTTGGGTATAATTTGTTGAAATGTAACTGGAAGAAATACCAAAACCACACGCTGAACAAATACATGCTCATACATGCTCATACATGTTTCTGATCCAAGAAAACAAATCCCCCTTTTCCTTCATGGTTAGTTTTTGCTCCGCTTTTAGGCTTGGATAAATCTATCTATTACAACATGTAACAGCCAATAGACACCTCTGGCTAGCAGTCTAACTGTGTTCAAAATAGCGGGTGTCGGGAAACAATCATTGGCGGGCAAAACGTTTTGAACTGAACCTCTTTACCAGAAAAAACATTTCTCTAGAGGGGCAAACCAGGCGCGCAATGTCATTCTAACAGCCGATAAATTTGCCCAGTGCCCAGCCCTCAATGAAACCCTTGCTGCAAGTTTGCCGACAGTCGGACAGTGGTTATGTATTACTAGTACTAGCAAGCATGTTATAGTTTCATACATGTGTGAGAATCCAATCTTACTCAAGGATATGCAATAGAACTTGACAGATGCAGTACAAATTACATGTATTTGCGAAATGCATGAAGGGACACATTTGTACAAAGGATACTCGCAATAGGATGTGTTAGCACACTCTGTACTATTAAGACACAAAAAGCTTGCATTCCGGGGTGTGCACACTTCACTGCAACAAAGTCCCTGGCTTGGGCTGCAAAGAAAGAATGAATGATTAAAACCAATTATATTAAAGGACGCTACCTGAACTTAACTGGTTTTAATTGCTGTTTTAATAATTGCATCAAAAAGACAGTTTCTTGTTAAGGGCCCATTAACCGATCTTTTCGAGCCGTTGCTAGGGAAAATTCATTCTCATATAACCTCGTCATTTTTAGTTAGTTCAGAGTTATTTCATGTGTTTTAACTTTTTCTTGATCAGCAACACTAGTGATGACGTCATCAGGCCACGCCCATGGTCATGTGACTAATACAGANACTTGTACTTTTTTTACTTTGCATTTTGTGAAACACAAAGAAAAACATCTACAATGTGAGCGAATTTGGAAGTTATTTAAATAACTTTAGTTATTTTTATTTTCTGCGCTCAGGCTGACGTAAGTAACCGGAAGTGAAATTTCACCTCCTTAGCAACGCGCGCGAGCGCGTGCATAAATCGGTTAATGGGCCCTTAAAAATGCTAAGAGTGTTGATGAGAGAATGGCACAGTTTCTGCACAATTGAGTCTGAAGGAATAGTGGTCAGTGGGATCATAATCCCAGTGTCACATTTCAGCACTTCACTAAAGTTTCACCACGCAAAAATGAGTTTCAGGTTCCAGTTAGATTTCACCCTACCGAAATCTGGCGCAATGAGTATTTGGCTTCCGTGTTTCCGTAGATGTGCACAATGTATGCCATAAAAAGACAAACCAAAAGAAAAATGAAATTGAACCAACCTGCAATTTTTCCCTGGCATACGTGTGCAACCATCAGTTTTATTACGACCCATGCAGCAGACATCTTCCTCACATGACTTATCTTCTACATATCCACAGTCGCACTCTTCGCCTTCCTCTACAACCTTATTACCGCAGATAGCTCCTTCAGCATCTACAAAAATAACAAGAGAAACAACAAACATTAAAATAACTCTCCTTTTTTCATTATTTTATATTATTCTATTCTATTTTTTTTATTTTTTATTTATTGTTATTTTTTTTCTTGCACCTACTGCATTAATGGTTAAGTAGGTAATGAAGAGGTATGTAACTGTCTGCCCTTTTAATACTGATGGCAAGGAATAAAATGTACTCAGTCACCTTCAACAGAAGAAATCATTCAAAACTTTTATAATAGAGGGGTCGAACTACACATATAGTGATAGCAATTACATTTATATGATTTTTATTTAACTATGTGTGAAGAATTATGTTTGTCAGAATTAATAGCAAGTTATCATGGAGCCTTGTAGTTATGAAGTAACACAAATTTTCTTACAAACAAAATACCCTGAATTTTCACTGACCCAACCTTTTTTCAAGTAGTCCTTTTCATGGTTAATTTTTCGCATTGCATACAATACAACATGCATGCGAGTCCTATTTGGCATGTTTCAAAATTTGCGTCCAAAATTGCTTAAAGGGCCATAATAATTGATTTTCAATGCCCACAAAAGACTACTCAAACGAAAAGAAGCCAATTTCTGTTGTAAGGTGGTTCACAATATAGTAGTTTGGAATCTTGCTAGATCCTGATTTCTGCTGTTACAGCTGCTAAGCTTGTATTACTTTTATTCTTTAGCAAATAGCCTGCTGAAGTGGACAGAACTTTTTAAAAAATGTTTCAATGTCCGTTTTGTTATTAAGACAAAGGAAATAATCAAATGTAAAAAGGAGGGGACCTAATTACAGTGCACCTCAGTAATCAGCATACAGTACCAATCGGATATCTATATACATGTGCCTTTTTGCGTACACGTATATGCATGTGGTGATGATTGATTGATTGACATGTGTTACCTTGGAAGCAGCATTTGGCTTCAATGCATCTTCCCTTGACATCCATCACACCATTCATCTTTTCTCTGCTGCACGGCGAAAAGAGACGATTGTTCCTTTGGTCTCCACTGGTTGCTCTGGCAAACATGATGTAATTTCCTTCACTTCCTCCAGGGGCACAGTTAGAAGTACTGTCATGCTGAAATTTTTAGGTAAATACATGTAATATCAGTCACTGGAATCTTGTGTAGTGTTAAGATGATTTCCGCAGAACATTCGAGCAATAATGGCAAAAATAATGTTACCAAGAAACCCTCATGGCATAGTAATATTTTGAATACAGTTTAGAAAAACTTATCGAGACTAACAGTAAGCTCTCAAGCCGACCCCGCAAGAGAAAATTGAACTTGAAGTTATCCATATCTCAATTAAAACAGACGTTTCACATTAGTTAAAACACAATAACACATGCTTTAAGCATTCTTTGAGGCTTGACATGAACTTTCTCGAGAATGCCTGAGAATTTAATTGGGGGGTTCACTTAGAGAAATGATAGTATTCCAAAAGTTACCGTGCTATGAGTAAATTTTTGGTAAAATTAGTAAATTTTTGCACTTATTGCTCGAACTTAGAACTGAGCCCGTCTTAACCACTGTTATGATCCATGTAAACAAATCACTAGCAACAGAGTTTGCTGCGTGCAATTAGTTGTCCAAATGGTCCTAACTGTATATGTAAAACTAGGGTTATATATGGGTACACTATTAGCATCATTCCTTATGCACAAAATACAGTCAACTCTGGCCTTGCAGACACCCACTATTGCTGACACACGGCTATTATGGACAGAAAATACACCCCTGTCTGAAACTAAAAAGAAATGTAAGGATGCAACTCCCTCTATTACAGACTCCCGGTACTATGGAACTGTGAACATTTCATGTGGTCCCAAACTAATATTTTTATTGTTCTTCTCTTGTTACAAAGGACAGTTTGGATGTACATGTAGTGAACGACATAATTGTTGCAGTCTTGGAATATTTGCCAGTTTGTACACTATTTTGACCTGTATATCATATGATGATGTGTCAAAGTAAATCTGTACTACAAAGAGTATAGCAATACGGCAAACTTACTGGTGAACCAAAATTGTGGCCAGTTTCATGTGCAAAGGTGATCTGGGAGACTTTCTGTGTTACTTTCTTGTTGTAGTTGATAAATGTAACAACTCCAGTGTTCAAGCTTTTCTTTTTTCCATCTCTGAAAGTTGTTGCTTTTTCACAAATTCCACCAGCAGCTCCACCTGATAACACAAAAAGCAACAACTCAATACACATCTCCCAAGCAATCCTATAATTTCATGTTTTTTTTTTATCAGCACACCCCTTGACGTGATAATCTTGGTTCTAATTGTAATTTCTACATCTACAAGTCATGTACAATTGCACAAACACATGAACACATATGTGTACATTATTTACATACAATTTTCTGTATTTCATGATCACCAGTGTGACTGATGAGAAACACCTTTGCAGCTATGCTATCATCCTCTATATTGTACAGGTGACAAAATAACCCAGTAGCTACATGTACAGTGTATGCTACTGTGCTGTCTTGACAAAGAACTATCCGCAGCTCCCTGAATAGAGTAAGAACTTGAATCAATCAATATTATGTCAAATGTTACAACATTAGATTTCTGTTACCTTTCTCACCAACCCACGCAAGTCCAAGCACACCATCAGCAAAATCACGGTAGGTAAAGATGTAAGACAGGCACACGTCATCATGGTTTTCCTCAGAGTTTAGCTCCAGGAGCTTTTCCACTCCAATGTTGTTATCTTTGTAAGGGTTGTCGGCAACTTCAGTATCAGAACTGTCATTGGCTTGCATTCTCTGGATTTGAAACTGAATGCCTAATAAAAAGTGACATAATATGCAATTTAAGTCTTCAATGGTAGAATTGAAATATTTCTCATACAGTTGAATAATTTGAATACTGTAAACACCAGCAGATAAGCCGCACCTTTTACTCAAAACTTTCCTTAAAAATCGGGGATGCGGCTTATCTGTGAGAACACCTGGACAGTGTGAAATTAATTTGTATAAATTAACACTTTTCATCCAACTTCAGAAAACTACTTATGTCAGAGTATGTCTCGATCATTGCTTTTATAAGTTTGGTGGCTCCTAAAAGAGCTGTTGTTGTTCATAAGCATAAGCCTACATTTCTTGTTGTTAAACACTATTAAACCCTCGTAAGAAATTCTTTCAGCCAGTTTAAGGTTCGTATTCTAGAGCAGCTAAACGTCGCGTGGCAGAGAATCTCCATGCTGGCACAAAGCTGTTTACATTGTTACAATGAGCTGTGATCAAAGAAAGCTTTGAAAGCTACTTGTGTCCAGTACTCTATCTCCTGGTGAAATACCTGGCTACTAAGCTATGAACGAATGAACAAAAGTGTTCTTGTTGTGTTATGTAAAATTATATCGAAAAACTGACAGGGGATGAAAAAAGTACTGATTGAAAAATACCAGAGAAAGATCAAATAAATGTCAAAGTCGGTAGACGTCATGTCCATACTATTGCAGAACTAAAATTATAGGTAAGGGTTTCAGTTTGAAGTACATGTATCCTCTGTTTACAGTGTTAGTGAGTTTACATGGGTTTACATTCAATAAATCAAGAAATGTACAGGAAAAGAATCTTTCTCAAGATTCCATTCATGAATTATTTTGATTTCGTTCCAAAACATTTTTTTCTGAACTTTGAGTTGCCAAACTTGGGGTGTGGCTTATCTGCGAGTGCACCTTGTCTGCTGGTGTTTATGATATTATTTCTAACTAAAAATAACAGAAAAGAACAGTCCAGTTATACAGTGTATGTACAGTAGTACAACATAGAATGATATGAAGTAAGAAACTCTTCGTAATCGAACTGAAATACAGTGTAATTATGTGCATTGAAAGGCCAGAACTGAAATTGTAATTTCAAAAAAAAAAAAAAAAAAATTATGTGAATCGTCACACTGCAAACATGCTGTGCCAAATCAATGACTGCATTTCACTGTATAACCTGTACATTTGAATATCATTTAGTGATGTACAGATGGAAACATATATGTACCTGATTCAGCCATTAAGTTTTAAACTCAAATTCTGTTTAAAATTAATCTTTGTTTAAAATACTGCATGCTTGATGGATATACATGTACAGAGCTATGCAAAGTAAAGTAGAGCTGTACAAATTTAACCTACCCTCAAATTTGCCATCACCATTAAAATCTGTATTTTTATAAATGGCATTTGCAGCCTTGACATGGTCTGCCATCAGCAGCAATGCCCTTTCTTTGTTCCCTCCAGCCATATTCTCTGTGAACAAATGATCAGCCTATGGAGCAAAGAAAGGCACTGTTTGTACATGTACACTGTATCACAAGGAAAGCCTCTATACATTGGAACTGAGATTATTAAGTGCATTATTTCCCACTCATTGAAGTAACAAGGTTGGATTTCCAGACAATTCAGGGTTCTAAATTTACTTTTATGACCAGCTGCCCCTGGGGCAACCACAAGATGTAGTTTGGTTGCCTTTAGAGCATTTTGGTTGTCCAAGCTCTTGCCCCAGTTCAAGCCAACAAACTAATAACTGTACATGTAGCTAAATAGTGAGTTTTATTTTCTCACGACTGAAGTAGCTGACGAGGCTCATATTAACTAAGAGTATTAAACACAGAATCTTATGACATTGTTTTAAAGTAAAATGGGCAAACAACATGGTGCAAACTGTATTAAAATTGCCATCGTCAGAACAAACATGGCAGCATCACACTAGTGCATCATGGACTACGTTTACAGGTACTAACCGCTGATTAAGGTGGCCAAACATAGTTTTCGTGTGCGCTTTTGCCGATGCAATTCAGCGCACACACAAGGATTGCAAAAACAAACATGCTGTCAATAGAGTGATCATTTTATTTACTCAACACCTGCACTATCCGTGCTATTTTTCTCTATTATTGAACGCCGTGTATTGAGGGTTCAGTCTTTTATTACAAAGATATGTTAGAAAAGCTAACGATGCAAAGAACCCAGCAATAGGCCCTTTGCAGCTGGGGTCACGTGACCAAATTTTTCCTAAAACATTTTAGCATTATGGGCTATAACTAAAAGAATGCCAGAAATGGAAAGAGCGCATCGAAAATACCAAAATGGCCAAGTTTGAGGCCCCAGGAAAAAACGAGTAAGTTTATACCAGTTTGAATTTTCGGAAAATTTAGAGGATTCGTATGGAAAATGTTGCTGGAGAGCAAGCTCTTGCTCTCCAGCAACATTTTNCCGCAACTGTACAATGCATGTACTCAATGGATTAATTTGCACAACAAAGAAATTTCCTTGCTAGGATTATCATTTCTTTAAATAACTGAACAAGAACTACAGTGCACATAACTCAACTGACCCCCACAGTGAATAGGATTATTCTGTACGGGTTATGCGATTTGATTCTTCTAGTCCGGCAAATAAAAGAATTCAACGAAAAAAAAAAAAAAAAATTACAATGAAGATTCTTATCTAAAGTACCTGTTAAACTGCATCATTCCATAATTTGAAATTGCACAGTTTCAAAACATTAAATATCTGGTGGTACTTTTGATTTATTCTACATGTAGGTGGTCAAACTTTTATTTCTCAGAACTAATGGACTTGAAGTTACATGTATGTGTACATTGATTATTTTACATGTTAACTTTAACTTGAGATGCTCTTTTGTCAAATATATTATTTCTTTGAAGTACTGTATATCAAACACAAGTGACCATGTTTCACCACATTTCCAGACACAGAGAAGAGAGTTGAAAATACAAAATTCGATAAAACACTGTCTCAAGTGCTTGATATGACTCTTCAATGGAAAACAGTAGCAATGCACAACTCACCCTCATTTTTAAAGTGCAAGAAAGTTTATTTGGATTAAGGTCTCCAGGTGCCCTGCGATATCTGTTTAATACTGGCTCAGACTTGGTGACATGTTCCCCTTCGATCACTTGTCCTGAAACTGCTGACCTGAGTGGTCCAATGACAACCATAAGTACTCTTAATAATACTGTACAGTGCAAGTTACAAGCCTTTGGCCTGCACTAACAGCCACCTATCTACAACAGCCACCTCTCTACCAGGACCCCAGGGCAGATGGTCCATAATTTCACTCATATTTTAACTTCTCTACAATGGTAAGAGCTACTAAAACACACCCCAGCTGCCAATTGCCAGTGTATACAAAACACCCTTTGGTTGCTAGTGCAGAGTGCACTATTGGGATCGTTTAGGGGGCTGTTGTGGAGAAATATGCAATTAGTTGCACATAAATTATGTTGACCAGGTTAACTGCCAGGTTACTCATCCATACCAGCAGATGTATATGTTGTAGGTCAAAATGAAATTCATGTTAAAATGAAATTCCTTTGTCCCTTAACCCTAATTATTCATGGATCACAAATAATTAGGGTTGGAAGATAAAGGAAATTGATACAATCGTGGACAAAAGTCCTTGGGACACTTATTTAATGTAATGGATTATTTGTGTTTTAGAACTGAAGTTTGAAAAAAATGCTGCTATATCTTTTATAGATGCATTGCTGTCCCCCTCCCCACCCAACACAATGTTGAAAATCAGGTGAAATTGCACATACTAGTTTTCAACATTATATGGGGGGGTGGGGGCGAGGTTAGGCAGGTGAAGTTGTGTTCGCACCTGGCGTGTACGCAAAAGCACCAAAAGTGCAAATTTGTCCCAAGACTTTTGTCCATGATTGTAGGTTAAAATCATTTTACATGTAACCTGAATTTCATTTTGACCTACAACATTATACATTGTAACTCCATACAATACACTGTATAAAACTGTGGCATGGAGTGACAGAGAGTCACTGTTCTTGCTTCTCACAGATGACAAGCTAGTAAGAGTACATTTTGTACAATGTAGTTCATCCCAGGTTGATGTAAGCTCTTATGTCTGGGGATGACAATGTCATGTACATGTACACCTGTCACTCCCATGAATAAGGGTTTCACATTTATGTACATTATCAGCACAGTTATTGTACAGTCAAAGGTCTTGTAAGCGACCATCTCGGAAATTCAAAGAAGTGGTTGTAACTAAAGCTGGTCGCTTACAAGAATGAGCTCTTGTAAGTGACCGCATGGTAAAACAATAGAGGGTGGTCACTTAAGAAAAAACAAAAGAGAATACTGTTTAATGAGTGTCTTTATACTCTGATATCTAGACACGGCTAAACTTTATGTTCAGTTTTTCAGACCAGACTAACCCCAAATCTAAATACCAGTGCCATAATGAGTTGATCTACATCAGAAGATTTTGAAGCTATTCAATAAACTCACAGTTTGTGTTTTATTGTGTCTAAAAGACTGTGAATGGTCGCTTACAAGAGCTTAAAAACAAAGGAAAAGTCCAGTTGGATAATCCAAAAATGGTCGTGGTCCTTTATGGGAGCAGTCACTTAAGGGAGCTTTTGATTACAAAGCTTAAGTAACGGTTCAAATGGGGTTTCACAAAGGTGGTCGTAACTAGAGCTGGCCGCTTACGAGTGGTTGTAAGGAGAGCTTTGACTGTACCACAGTGTACTGTCAGTCCTGTTCACCAATGAGCAGACACAATTTTGTGCCTGAACCTGTGGTAAACATACATTACAAGTCCATAATATACATGTACAATATGCACTGCAAGTACCTCCAGAGATCGTTCAGGGCACTCTTTGTATGTTCCATGAGTTTGAGAGACATCTTACCTTTTCACCTCATCCATCCACCTCTTTGCTTTTTCATTCACTCCACACCCTGCACCATAAGCATGAGGGTATTGCACATCTCTGCTCTCATAAATAACTGAGTGGAAGTCTTTAGGAGCATCCTTGAAATACTCTTTTGCTGACTCAACAAAATACTCGTCATTTCCTACATGGATTTTGCCTTCAAATACGCCATCATCGGATATAAAACCATGGACAAATGAATTTTTATGACCTGAGTGTAATCAAAACAAAAGTGCATTAAACACGACAACCTCTGCATTATCAGTAATATAATTGTATTCTTTCTCAACAAGTACCTAATATGGTATGTGGCCAGCACAGTTGTTATAAGGATATGAGAGTTTGTTTGTGAGGAGAGAAGGGGCCTCATACATGTAAGTAACTTGTAGGTATATATAAATGTGCTGTCTTTTATTATGGGGTTGGGGCTACAGTATAAGTCTCTGGTATTTGTGGTTAAATATACCATACCTTCTACATCCCCTGCCACAACTTTGGCGGGGTCAAACTCAGCATTTTCCACTCTGAAGTCATCTGTGAAAAGGTCTGTATCCCTTTTAAGACGAATCTTAAATTCTCTGCAGATTAGACAAACGATTAAACTGTAGAGATCAAAATGTTAAACAGTGTTCTCAGGAGGTCAAAATTTTTACAATTACCACTTACTGTATTACAGAATATTGACTATAACACTACGCATGTACAACATTGTACAACATTGTACAACAATGTATAATGAAATTAAGCCCTAGAAGCTAATGAACGTATTTTCTTGATGTGCATGTAACCTACATGTAAATTGTACCAGTTTTCTTCTAGTGGTTACGCCTGTACGTTAAACTCTTATGTGAATCATGAAAGTAGCAAGCTAATTGAGTTGGTCACTGGAACAGGAAGATTCTGCAGCAACCACTTAGTCTGCATGTTTGAGACCACGACAAAATCCCTTGCAATTTTCACTAGTGATTCTGAACAAATCACCTCATTTCTCCCAGTTTCACAACGAAGCATTTTTGTCCAATGTTGCGTTGCATTAATATTTCTAAAATTTGATCATTTAGCCAGGGCTTCAGGGAATGCACAAGACCATCCACTGATGAGATTGTTCACTTGTGAGAAACTCTGCAGTGGGCAGATCCTAATTGGCCTATAACGTTTACAACTTAATGTAGCAGAAGTTGACTTGTATGGGGTATGTTGCATGCATAATTTTTCAAGTTTCTTCCTTTTTTCTTTTTGGAAAATGCAAATAAAATAGTAATCAGTTATTTCTCATGAAAATTTCTTTTCAGGTCATTCCTTGCTGATTTCCGTGGTTTATTAGCTTGCTTATAGCATGAAAGCCTGAAGTAATATCGCTTTCATAAACGCTGTACGTAAGCTTACATTTACGTATTCACGTATAAAGTTGAACTTAAGCTTACAGTATTCCCTAAAAGTGATCAAAAATGGCAAGTAAAATAATCTGACACCCAAACAACAGCAAAATCATGACACCGCTAAGTAAATAGATAGCTAACCACCAGGCTAAGAGAAGCGCCATTCAAAGAAGGCAGATTTCTGCACAATCATATTAAAACAAGTATGGACTCCAACTGGAACTATAAATGCAATGGTTTAACAGGTTTATGCTAGATTTACTGTTCTTTTATTGAGCTGATTCTTCCGGTTTAAACACACAAAAGTTTTGTTTCAGCGTTCTTACAAGACAAAGAATAAAAGTCCCAAATCTTATCGCAGTGTTCATACAGAGAAGTAAACGTGTGTTTGAGAGCCATGTTGTGTGACCTCTCAAATACCGGGAAGCATTAGTTTAAGCCAAGTTTCAGATAATTTCTTGGTGATTTTGCACCATTCCCTTTAAATTCTGAGTACAATTTCACTCGGTCAGAGTCTTGAAACTTACCTTTGATGAGTTTTTAAATTTAATTCAATGCGATGATCGCTGTTTGGACTTGAACGCCTCACTCGACCATGTTCCCTGAGTACTGCAGTTGTGTCGTAGTCCAGAGTTTCATAGTGGTTTATGAAATCCCCCAGCGGCCGTCCTGTGAAACCAAAACACGAAAATTAGATACATCTTCCTCCGATAACGTAGTTCAATACGAAGGGATTACCAAACCACAAACGAATTTCAACTTACGATATGACCAAGCACAACTCCACAGAAGTACGAAAGAAGCAAAACAAACACGTACAGCTATCATGCTTCGAAACCACAACGCTTCTCGAAGAAAAAGCCCGAAAGTAGACCAAAATGAAGGTCCTTTTAATTCGAATAGGTTTGTTGACGATCGGAAGAGTACTGGAGGTTAAAATTTGCGAGAAATAGTCGAGAAATTCTTTGAAAATTATATTTCAAAACTCTCTCTCACACCTTTGGGAATAATGCGCATGATCAAACTTGGAAGAAGCACGATGACGTCATATGGCTCGTCTTCGTTAGCTTGTTTACTTTGGTATTTTGTTCTCCATGGTTACAACAACAGGGAAGCAAAAACAATGTATTCTTTCAAGAGAAAATGAGGGGACACTTTTCGCACAGTACACGGCATGTATAGGTGCCCAATGGATTGTATCCCAGAGAATATATAATCGCGCATCTTTCTGCCGCATAAACTGCGAAAGTGTGGATTAACCTATGTTTTCTGACTTTTAGTAACTGATCGTGAGCACAGACCGTCACTTTTCATCATCGTATTTTATACGACCATTACATTACATTGCAATACTTAATCTGTAAAGATAATTACTTTATATTGGCAGTCTTATATTAGCGGTGTGAAAAAACTGAAAAAAATTAATGACATGGGTGCTTCGTATTGCCCAGTTACCCTCAGGGATGCCAAACAATTGCATTACTATATAGAAGATCGAGTCCATCTATAGACTCGGGGCAGTACTAATTTCCGATTTTTTCCATTTTTTTTTTTT